TTAGTTTACTGACTGACAACAGGTTACAAGATAACTTGGGAACATGAAGAACATTGTGGAGTGTAAAACAGGGAGAAATCACAATTGATCCTTTCCCGGCTACGGCAAAGAAAGAACCATCTGCGATTTTTACTTTTTGATTTCTTGCACACGGACTATAGGCTGAGAACATTTTAGAGAAACCGGTTATATGATCTGTTGCACCAGAGTCAATTATCCACAAATCATTTGTATTGACACTAAAACAATACGTGACTAGAAGACTACCTTTCTGAACCAGAGAACAAGAAGGATTGGAATTAGGGACACTTTGGGATTGAAGAAGTTTACAGATTTGCTCTAACTGTTCCTTTGTGAATGGCTGCGTTCCAGAGGTAGTTTCAAGCCCTTATTCGGCTGTATTGGCATGGAAACCACGCTCATCTCCCGGTGGTTTCTTCTTCCATTTGTTCAGCTTTCCATGAATTTTCCAATACGTCTCTCCAGTGTGCCATGGCCGCTTACAGTGATCACACCAAGGCCTTGTTTTGACACTCTTCTTGTCTCCATCAGCCTCAACTTCTCGGGACAGGAGTGCTGATTTTTCTTCCTCTGGTTCGGATTTCCCAATCATCACGTTCCGCCTCATCTCTTCTCTCCTAACTTCAGAGAAAACTGCACGGATAGAGGGCGGTGGTTTTCTTCCCAATATTCGGCCTCTAACTTTGTCAAGTTCTTGATTCAAACCTGCCAAGAAAACATTCCCAATATTCGGCCTCTAACACAATCGTTTTCTTCCCTTTTTTTGTGTCGGATACTGTCATTAGGACACTCCCAATCATCTTCATAGCAAAGATCCAATTCATGTCACAAAGATACAAGTTCATTATAAAACATAGTAACATTCCGGTCCCCTTGTTTGGCTTTCCACAACTTTGTTTTCAATTCAAAAATTTGAGAAGAATTTTCGATGTGAGAATACATCTCACGAACTGCATTCCACACATCTTTGCCTGTCGGCAGAAACATGTGTGGTTTTCCAATGGCTGGCTCCATTGAATTGATTAACCACGCAATGACTAGAGAGTTTTCTGACCTCCATGACGCCATCTTCAGATCTCTTGCAACCGGCATGGTTATTTCTCCAATCAAATGGCCAAGCTTCCCTCTGCCATCAATCACCAATTTCACGGATTGAGCCCATTCCAGATAGTTTTGACCATTCAGCCTATGGTATGTTAGTTGGAAAGGTATATTCGAACCTAGAAAATTTTCACCACTGCTGGTTGTTCCTCCACTGCTGGTTGTTCCTCCGCTGCTGGCTGTACCTCCTCCACTGGTCACCGGAACTGTGTTCTGTGACTATGCATCTTCAGCCGCAGCACCACTTGAACCAATCATCGCCTGCTTGTAATTCATCTAGGCAGAATAATTTTTAGAGCTGTGGCTCTGATACCATGAAGGTATTTTAGGAGAGAATTGAGCACTTTTATTTCTCCTCATTCTTACATAAACCAGCCTCCTTATATAGATGAGCCAGAGAATAGCAAAATAAGGAAAGTAAAACAAATAAGTAAACAAATCAAAATAAACGGAAACTGCCTAATATTCTAATCCCTTAAATTTAGCTATCAATCCTCATCATTCCTCTATATTTGGACAGAATTAGGACAGCTATACATTCCTAATTTACCGACAATATCAATGCTCCAACTTGCGGGGGAGTGTAGAAAGATAGGATTTTTCTCTTATTTTAAATTTAAACTGATTATTAGGATCGGTTCTACATATTTTTAGGAGTGTAATTATCAGTTCTTATATTTGTGGGATATTGGTTTGGGGAATAAAGATCAGATCCTAGGGCTAGTTTATTTATAGTTTCACTGCTGTACGTTTTGCATAATAATCAGAAAAATTGTTTCCCCTTAGTCCTGCGTTCAAGTATCTTATTAAAAAGTTTAGTGAGCCACACAATTCCAACATCTCCTAACGCCATCTAAACTTTTATTGGAATATCATCTGACCCACTTGTCTTCCCCTTTTTTATTTTTCGTAGGTTCTCCTTGGGACCTAAGATCGTCAAACTCTATCGTATGATCATCATTATAAAGCTTCTCAAAGTAACACCTCCACATTTCCCTAGTGTCTATATCTTTTGTCAGAACCTGATCTGTATCATCCTTAACACACCTCACTTGATTTACGTCCCGACACTTCCTTTCTCTTATCCTAGCAGGTTTATATATATCATTATCTCCTTCTCTAGTCCCAAATTTCCTATATATCTCATCTAAGTAGAACGAGCCTTACCAACTGCTCGCTTAGCTTCTTTCTTCGCTTCTTTGTACTTATTAAAAGTTTCAACATCCTTACGCTTTGGTAAATCTCTATATAAACCCCTCTTAGTCCTAATAGCCTTTTGAACTTCCTCACTCCACCACTAGGTTTCTTTCCCTGAGGGCCTTTACCTCTAGATTCTCCTAGCACCTCCTTTGCCACTTTTCTAATGCAGTTGGCCATGACATCCCACATAGTATTTGCATCACCTATATATGACCAAGTAGTCTCCTCTAACAACTTATCTTTAAAGGCAAATTGCTTTATTCCCTTCAAATGCCACCAATGAGTTTGTGGGAGGTGGTTTATCTTAGTTCTTCTATAGCAAAGCTTATGCTCACATCTAAGATCACTAACCCATGTTCGGTGGCTAATACTTCTCCAGGAATTACTTTACAATCCTTACATAGAGAACGTTCTCTATACCTTGTGATAAAATAATCTATCTGGCTCAAGTTCCTCCCATTCTTAAAAGTGATTAAGTGAGAATCTCTTTTCTTGAAAGATGTGTTTGTTATGATAAAATAATGTCCCAACGTAAATTCCAAAATAGATTTTCCTTTTTCGTTTCGAGCTCCAAAACCAAAACCACTGTGGATCCTTACGAAGTTTTCCCTATCCTTACCAACATGCCCATTGAAATCTCCTCCAATGAAAATGTTATCCTCATTGCCTATACGACACACTAAGTCATACATGTCTTCCCAAAACTTGACTTTAGTTTCCGCATCCAATCCTATTTGTAGAACGTAAGCACTAATTACATAGATAAACTTATTTTCTAGTACCAATTTGAGCATAATAATTCTATCCTCTATTCGCTTAATCTCAACTACGTCATCCTTCACAATTTTATCCACTAGAATACCAACTCTATTGCGATTCCTTTCCCAACCTGTATACCATAACTTGTGTTCTAAATTTCCAATCTCCTTTGCTCTCTCTTGTCAACGTCGTTTTCTGTAAGCATAAAATGTTAATTCTTCTTCTTACCATAACATCTACTAACTCCATAGATCTACCAGTTAAAGAACCTACATTCCAACTACCTAAATGAATTTTCCTATCATGGGCTAGCTCTGCTCCTTGCACACGTCCATTAATGTGCAAGGATCCCCCTTGCATATTTTTCACCATATCCGAAGCCCGACATGGCGCATGGGCTCACTTTTCCCCTCGCACACGTCCATGAATGTGCGAAGACCCCCCTTGCCTATTTAACACTATACCCAGAGCCCGGCATAGTGTGTCGAACGTAGGGAACGCCCCAACAGATTTTGTGTAAGTGAAATCCATGAGCGTGACTTATTTTTACGCTGGCTGTCAACCTACCGCAACCTTCCTCCTTTATCCGGGCTTGGGACCGGCTATACAACCTACTGCAACCCTCCTCCAATAAAGACAATGACAAAACAAAAAGCAATGCCATATCTACAAATTATCAAATGCTATATCATTCATTTAGAGCCCGTTTGGTTGGAGGATTCGTTCTCTGATTCGAATCATGGTTCATGGTTCGTTACAGTATTTTCTCTCACAAAAAACACACATAAATCGAAAATGGTTCTAATCTCATGGTTCTAATCCATGAATCAAACGTGCTCTTAATATGATATTTGTGGCGAAAAAACAAAGAGCAATGTTATGGACAATTGACAATTTCAGCACGCCTTGTAGAACTTTGCCACTCGCATAGTATTATAGAGAGCTTATTCAAATGTAGCTTCTGTCTGGCTAAAAGAATAGCTATATTCAAGTGATGTCTACTTTTTCCAAAAGAAATAAAAGGGTGTTTAGGAAAATAACGAATAGAATACCTTGATATTGCCAGCTTCTTTAATAGCAGCAATGATCTTAACCTGATTGTTTATCTGAGCGAAACTGACCGTTGATACTACCACATCAACCTGCTTGATGGCCTCAACTAGACATTCATTGTTGCACAAATCGCCGTCGAAGAATTTGACGCCCAAAGACTTGAATTTCTCAATGGTCTCGGCCCTGTCCGGGTTTGAGAGAGTGGAATCTCACACCAAAGCAAAGGTCTCATGGCCGGCCTTTGCGCTTGCCTCAACTACTCACTTCCCAAATCTCCCTGTCGCTCCGATTATCAGGATCTTGCTCTTCTCTGTTGCCATAAGATGGGCTTGATGATGCACAGACTAGAAGAAGAAAGAGACCGATAGTTACAGGGGATCTCTCTCTTGGATTGACTGTCCTGTGAGATTAGATGGAAGTGGTAAATGATTAGAAAGTTTCTTTTGATTAGTGCGTGGCCGTGAGCTCTCTTTATCTTTTGTTTTGAAGTGTCGGAAGGGCCAGGTGAAAAAGCAGAAATGAGAATGAGCCTGTCAGCCCCAGTTCGCATATCATGATCACTTTTGAGAAATCTGCTTCAACACAAAAAGTACTAGGCCCGTTTGGTTCATTTGCTTTGAACCAAAATTTAAATTTTTGTGAGAAAAAAAACATTTGAACCGAAGTTCGAACCCCTTTACCAAAATTTCAGTCTGAGTACGTCCATAGAGCGGCCCAACTCTTCCATTTCAGTTTCCTGCCTTCCTCATTTCAAAAAGACTGTTATTGTCAAGAAGGGGCAAATCTCAATTTTACGGTCTACCCATTGAATCATTCATTGACTAGTTAAAAATGCAAGAACTCTGTTAGCGTTCTCCGATTGCCAGGAACCAAAAGATAAAGGTGAAGAGCAGCAAGTCTATAAATCATCAAGAATACTTTTGGAAAGTCCAATAATAAGGTGGACAAAGAATCTTAGTTTGTTCTCTGCTTAGTTCTGCAGTGACGCTGAATACTTCGGTAAGATTTGTTACACAAGGGTGTCCAAATATTCACTGATTGTCGTGTATTTCAGTTCCGGATACAGTTTGGTCCCCTCTACACCCCCTGACGACTCAATATCAAAGTATGTATGATCTCCTTTAACGAAACCAGAATATATGAAAACCATCTCCATGCGGTCAGGATACGGAGTCTCTGTAAACGCAAGTTTGCAAAATTCATTAGCAGAGAACTTGAGTTGTAAAGTCAATTTTATGTGAGAGAAAACGTTGCAGCAAAAAATTGAATTTAAACTTTTGTAAGAGACAATATTATAACATAAAAATTTTAGTTGTGACTTGAGTGTTGAAAAGAACATACTAAGGCCTCATTCGTTTCGCTCATTACAAATTGAGTTAAAAAATATAATTCACATGACAGAAAACACTATATCAGAAAATGTTGAATTTGAATTTTTTATGAGAAAAAACACTGTAACAAAGACTTGAGATATAATTCGAACTAACGAAACGAACTGGACCTAATACTCAATAGTGAAAAGTACAAAGACTAATAATCAATTCAGCAACCAAAAGACAGTTCATGTACAAATTGAAAAAACCTGGTCTCTATACACAAACTGTACCCTAACTCGACCCAAGCAAACAAAATTCAGGAATACACAACTCTCTTTAGTCCTAAACCATCCACCTACCTACCTATGCAGTCAATTCAGTTAAAGATTTTTAATGTCTATCCATAGTTTTATGGGGTTCACGTAATTATTCAAGTGGGCATTTACATTACCATGAATCCTCTGAAGAAGCTCCTGCTCCGAGACAAAAACCCTTTCAAGCTTCTTCCCAATTTTGCTCTCCCAAATCTGGACCAGCTCATTCATGGAGTAGACATTCCCAGGAGGCCTCAAATACAAAACTTTGTTCAACGTTCGCGGGTCATCCACTGTCTTGATCGTGAAGGCAGCCACATCTTTTCCCTTCACAAAAACACCTGCGAAAAAAAAGGAAACAAAAAATCTCAAAATCAATGAAACAATGAAAAAAATACCCAGATTTGAGCAGAGAATGAAAGACCTTTGACATTTCCATGGCCAAAAATAGTGACTTTATCCCTGGGAGGAGAGCTTCGACCGGGCTGAAGAAGCGAAGGAAGAAAAAGACTCATGTAGAAATTGCACGAGATGGACGTGTATGGAATGCCTTGAGCTTCAATCAATCGTCGAATCTCCGATTTCTTCGAATAGAAATCGTGATCGAGATCCGATACGCGAGTTTTGTCAGGATCGCATCCGAATTCCGCCGGAACAAACCTCTGAAATCAGATTAAATTTCAGCAGTTCATTATCAATGAGGCAAAAAAAAGGAAAATGAGAAAAATTTCGACCTTGATTCGTCCAGATTCTGCGATGATTCGAATTAAGGGCTTCTGCAACATCACATCCTTCGTCGCGACGGCGCAAATTACGATGTCGACAAGCTTCACGGCTTCGACGAGGCTGGCTTCGTCTTCAAGCGAACCCTGGAAAGTGAAAAATCGTCGGATGAGATTTGGAATTAGCGGAGGGGAGAGTGAGAGAGAGAGAGAGAGAGAGAGACTGTGAGGAGGGTGACGCCGGCATTGGAGAGGGAATGGAGCTTCTGGGACTTGAGGGGGTCGGAGAAGGCGGAGGCTCTGACGAGGGCGAAAGTTGGGTGAGAGAAACGGAGGCTGCATTCGGCCAAATGGTGGCCGAGATTCCCCGTCGCTCCGATTATCAGGACCTTGCTCTTCTCCATTTTTGGTGTTCTGTGGGTTGTCGGAGCAGCGATTGGAAGTGAAAGTGACGGAGGAGAGTGCTTGGCTATGGCGCCTGTTGAGGGTGAAGTTGACTGCACACTGCTGCTGGACGTTGAACGGTTGAAGAGAACCTTCTTTCTTTTTTTTTTTTAATTTAAATTTAAATTCTCACTGTTAGTCTAAAATTTTGAAATCGTTCTCACTTTATTTTAAATCTTTCATTTTATCTCATTTCAGGACACCAGTGATATAAATACTATATTGTACTAAAATTTATTTTTTTCTTTTATTTTTTCTTTTTGGAAAAGAAAATTATCCTAATATTTTTTTTGAACTTAAAACTATACTGTTATTTCAATTTATTTCAAAAAAGTGATAAATTTTCTTATAGCGCATCGCCATTACTTCTACAATTACTCATAATTATTTCAATAAGATTATTGTTTTTGATAACTTCAACAAGATTATTGTTATTCCGCCATTAAATATCTTTTTACACCGACTGTTTGTTTCATACTTGTTTACATATATCTTAGTAAGAAAATTCTTGAATTGATTGGAATTTGGCAATTTGCGACTCTATTCATAAGCATGAGAGTACAAGATGTTCACAGAGTTCTCAATAAGAGAATGCAATTTTGAAACATAAGCTGCATTGGTGTCAAACAAAGTCCGTCCTTTCCTGCTGATTAAGTGCAATTGTTGTGATTTAAGTGCACTAAGTCTTTGCAGTTTCAAACCTCATTCAATATTTTGTTAACATTTTTTTGATTATTATTATACACATTCAATTGATATGTTATATTGTGTACATTATATTGTTAATACATAAATCTTACTTGTCTATTATGGTACTTTTTATGTTTTTTTTTTTTTTTTTCATTTTATTTTCATGGGGCTTTTGAATATGTATGAATGATGAATTAAAATTAGAAATAACAAAATATGTTTTCTAATTTAATTTAATAAATGGGTGATAAATTGAACTTTTGACGAGGCAGGTCCTCCCCCTTAAACCTATGGCGGAGGGTTTTCTTCACGGGGTGGGAACGTCTAAACCCACCTATTACTATTCTTGGTAATGATCTAGGTTTTAATAAACAAGCGGCATTAAAACAATTCATTAATTGAACGATGCAACAAAGTAGGGAGCTACTTTTATTGCTCATTTGATTAATACGTCAAAATAGAAATAAATTTAAATTTTTAAGAAAGAAAGTATTATAGCAAAAATTTTTAATTATAATTCAAACTGTTTAATAGTTTTTTTTCCAGACCATCGATTGAGTTTTATTGCATTCAAGTTAAATATACTGAAGCTAAATCGAAAATTTAAGCATTTTTGACATGAAATATTCATAGAAACTCGTTAGATTTGGAAGTGATTAGCAAGATTCTTATTTCAAATTTTGGTCTCCAACAAAACACATCTTTCTTAATGCTTACAAGTAGAACCACCAGGTCCCCCAAAGGCGAACCTGTAACCCCAATAGTCAGACCTAGTAAGCTTATCATTTTGCAATCCATAACACCCGGATTTGTCTACGCCCTCCACAACATCATCCTGGTCCGAGGGTGCTACTTGTTTAAGACCTTTCCTCAAGTATTTTATGTCTCTGAAGAAGGCGGCACGATCATAAAAGCCGTCTGGGTATCGGCCGCTCCCGATCGGAGGGCTAATTCCGTCTTTTCCTGCCAAACTAATTCCTCCCCATGCCACATCCGTTGCTGCCTTGGCTAAACGAGGTACCAATTCCTTTGGCCAGTAACCCAACATTTCATTACGGGTTGATATCACAAGCCACCAATTTCCTGTCATTGGATCCTATAACATTGAAGGGATGATGAAATATTAATAAAAGAAATATAGTATACATAAAAGACCTTAAAAAATGATCTAGAGCGAAGCATTTTTATACTATACAACCGTGTAGACTGTTTAATGCAAAAATGAGAAGAAGAAAAAAAATCACTTTTAAAGATTGTCAATTTGATAAACCTTCATTTTTGATCGTATAAACATCTTAAAACGATCGTACTACTTCGAGTAGTACTATTATTTTTCCTTACCTGATAGATAAGTAACTTCATTTCAAACGTTCGCCCTCCTATAGTAGAAACCGGTATTATACGACTTTTTGGACCTATCCTTGGGTGTACTTGTATGAATCCCTTGCAAAGCAAGTTGTAGCATCCTGTCTTCTCACCTCCATCGACCTGTCGGCAATATTTACCACGGTTGAGAATGGTAAAAGTTAGAAAAATTGGGACAGTTATATATATATATATATATATATATATAATATGTAGAAGTGCACATAGAAGATTGATCAATTACTTACACTCCAATATATAAACAACCGAGGATAGAGATCACCATTTATTGATCGCGACGCCTAAAAAAAAAGATACATAAATCTGTGCTTGAAATATTGTGTTTGATCAATCATTAGAGTACATGAAACAACGATGTGCTAGAAATTATTCATTTTTATCTTCTCATCAAATTTCTTATACCATATAGTAACTCCTTGTAATACAAAGCAAATATACACTTTTCTCATTTTCCGTCGTCTTTACACCCTTAGTTTGGTAGCAAGTACTCTACGTTCACTTCACTGATATCTTGGTCCAAATTCAAATCTTCTTTATCAAAATCAACACGTCCCTATAATGCATACACTAAAATGGATTATTAACTACTTTATACCCTGCATTCTAAGATTATAATAATTTTATATCATGCATTTTGGATGTTGCCAACATTTATACTTTTGAATATCTGATCATATCCACTTTCTTTTTGGTAGAATAAATAACATACATTTATAACTTAGTCAACTTCTAGTTTTGACCACGACTATCAACTTATTCACTATAATAAAGTCATAATTTAAATGGTAAATCACCATTTAACCATTATAAGGTACAAATATTATATGAATTGAAATCTAATCAGTTAAGTACAATGGTTGCCGACATAGTTAACGATAATTACAAACTTGATTCCACCTAAAGACATAAATTTCAAATCCATGGCCCAAAGTTAAAAAAAGAAAGTACATCTTTTATATTTTTAGGGATTTTTGCTTCACGTGTCCCTAAACCTGTAACTTTTGACATTCAGGTCTACATTTATGAATTTAGATACTTAGGTCCTTGAACTCTTAATTTGTTAGCATCATTAGTCCCAGTGTTAAGAATTTAGGCCCCGTTCACTTCGCTGATTCGAGTTTAGAATTCGAGTTTTTCTACAGTAAAAAGCTCTCACAAACAATCACATCTAACTTTTTTGCTACAGTAAAAAGCTCTCACATAAAGTAACATCTCAACTCAAATTATAAACTCGAATCAGCGAAGTGAACGGGGCCTTAGACACTCAAGTACTCAATTTCTTAAAATGAAGACCCAAATGTCAAAAGTTGTAAAATTTTTAGAGCTGTGATGCCTACACTTAAGTGCAATATATAAAATAGTAAATACCTAAGTACGTGAATTGGTGCTAGAGAGAAAAAAAAATCCTACAAGAAATTGTTATTTCCTGAATATAGTTAACTATATAGCTAGAAAAACTTTTTTTTTTTAGGGGGAAAACAAGGAAAAGTGTTGTTTTTGGAAGACATGATACCATCCATCCAGCAAGAAGCATATTGACTGGTCCCGGAGGACCCGTTTCTATCCAAATATTAGTCGAGCTCGATTGGCCTGGACCCACATTGAGTTCGTACACCGAACCGCTTCCCGCAGCTCCATAGAATCTGACACGATTTGTTTCGTTTACTTTGAGGAAAACTTGCTGTGAGCCCCGCAAGCAATAAGATTTGATGAGAAATACTTCAGAAATATTCATAGTTAATTAAGGAAAAAAAATAGATTTTATTCAGCGTTTTCTTTTTTTTGAAAATATTTATATTCTCTACTTTTGATTTAATATGATTTTAATGAGATCTAACAATTAAAAATTAAAAAACACTGGAGAAACTCTTAAAAAAAAAAGAATAATATTCATCTTCACATGGATTGCTCACGTAAAATAAAAATCTCCGTCACTCACAAAATAATAAAGCCTATTAAATTTAGGTCCCACTTACCTATTAAGCAGGACCTACCTTAATGTTAGTAGTAGTGGGGACTTTTTTCATGGAGATGAATAAGAATGCTAAAATTTTTTTAAAAAAATGTACGGTTAATCACATGATGATTTCAAGCAAAAAAAAAAAAAAAATCACATGATGGTTACTTGCATGACTATCAGGGTTGGTAGAGAGAGAATTAGTACTACGTCGACCAATGTTGTGAAACATTTGACGCGAGATGTTTTTAGCGTTTTCCACTTGGACCTTTGTTGTTCTGTATATTGGAACTGTTCCATCAGGGCAGTCTTCCTTTCTGGAAAACCCTGATTCATATTCTTGTGTATGCTCGATAGGAAATGAACTTTGCAATATCTCAGATGGAAGAACACTTGGCCTTCTCTGCAAAAGTGTCATAAAATATAATTGTTCGAATTATCCATGAGTATATGAATAGTGATTGCACACTTATCTTAGCCGTAATTTTGTGCATACTTCGAATATTAAGATTTAGAGTTTAAATCTTTTTACGTTCAAGTTAAAAAATGTGTATTTTTTCATTTCATAAAACATCATTGCATAATACCACCAGAAAATTGGTTTTCTTTGAACTAAAAAGAAAAACGACATCGAATATATATATATATTATACACCTGAACTTTGTGGTTCTTGAGTAAAGGATGATAAAGTGACGGCTGGCGATTGATGTCCATGCAGTCGATAATATCATCTTCATCAAACTTTGTCACGAGAGAAAAGAGAAAAAAAAAATCATTAATTTTAGTTAAATAATATATTATATGCAAGGCCAGAACAACCTGAAAATCCTAAAAAAAAAATTAAAAAATAGAAGGAAGAAGAAGACAAGTTAACAATGATCTACATATACCTGAGTGGTTTTGACGATGGTGCTTTCATCAAGACTTTGGAGATGCTTACTTTTCATCTCCAAATCTTGTTCTCTGTCGTTATTAAACATCGTTGCTGTGCTATAGCTATAGGTACCTAAACAAAAACATAGTATAAACAAAAATTTGACCATTTTGATAACCATGTTGTCCTACTCCGCGGCAACTCTAAATTAAGAACTGCAAATTGAAGAACTTGCTGGGTTGTTTTTTTTTTTTTTTTTTTTTTGAGTATAATGATGATTTCTGGAAATATAGTTTGTGAATTACAGGTATATATAATTGGTGTTTTGATCACTTAAATAGAATATAAGATCTTGCCTATTTATTATTCTGGTAGAAATCTATGGATGCAATTGCATGGAGAGATAAGGGTGTTAAATGCGAGGTTGAAAAGATGTACTCAAAAGTAGAGTTGACATTGGTTTCTTAGTGCTTAAGAGAGAGAGAGAGTGAAAGAGAGAAAGAATCCCTTTGGATTGTGTTCCAAAGTCAAAATGGTAATGTAGAAAAGGTTTTCATCTAATTGAAATTCCCTTTCTAATCCTCCAGATTTGTTCTTTTCCATCCTCATTCGTGTATGCTAAACGCTTCAGATTGTTGGTTTTCAACTTTTTAACATGTCCTAGCAAAAGTAGTTGATAAACCCTCCAAAATTTTGAAAATGCTACTCTTGTCATTCCAAAATTTTCATGTCAATATTACATTTTTTTTTTTACCTTTTGATTTTTGTTTTATCTCCTCAGATAAAATTCACTTACAACAACAAAAGGCTACATAGAAGTTGTGTGCAAGTGAACATTGGAATATTGGCCATTAAATATTACTACAGGTCATGAATTTTTTACGACAATTTCATTGAAGTTTTTTATTCCATATCATTAAACTCATTAGTGCTTACAAAAAGAACCACCAGGTCTTCCAAATGCGAACGTATTTTTATCATTTTGCAAGCCAAAAAGCCTGGGACTGTCAACGGACTCCACTACATAAGTGCTGTTGTTCGAGGCGAAAGAAAGCCTCTCTTCACTTAATGAATGTTTCTGAAGTTACAAGCGCGATCATAAGACCCATTGGGGGTACTGGCGCCACTTCTCATAGGAGGGATAGCTTCGTACGGCAGTAGCGGTTCCTCTCCACACTTGACTTCTCTTCCTCCCCATCTTAGGATGTGTTTAGTAATTAAAGGGACGTTTGGTTCATGGATTCAGAATCATGATTTAAAATCATTTTAGATTTATGTTTATTTTTTGTGAGAAAAAATACTGTAGCGAACCACGAACTATGATCCGAACTATGATACAAATCCTTACTCTAAACGCACCATAACTTAAATATATACTCAAATGAGCCCTTAACAATGCACTATTTCCTTGACCAATACCCTAAGAATGTATTTTACTTCATTAGTATGAGCCACTAATTTCATGACATAACATCCTATAACATCGAGCACTGAATTAGTGCGAGAAAGATGTCAAGTCTAACCATTTATTTTTCTTTAACAATTATTAATGGGAATTAATAACGTTACGGTGATAAAAAAAAAAAAAATAGTGTTAGAGACACTAACTCAAATATCAATTTTTTATTTATTTTAAAAAAAATTAACTTTTGTGTACCAACTGATGTGACATTTAAGTTGTCATTTTTATATTAGTGAGTGTTTAAAATATTTCTATGTAAATTAATGGTAAGAGATTATATTTGTAAATTAATTATAAAAAGATGACAACTCACATGTCATATGAGTTAATATACAAAAGTTAAAATTGAGTTGGTATCCCTAATATTAATCTAAATAAAATAACCAAAGCAGATAGAATATAATCTAATCCTAATTATGTCTTAATTAGGATTCCTAAAACAAAACAATATCGTTTCAAAAAAAAAAAAAAGAAAACAAAAGAAAACAAAAAAGTAGATTGAATCATTGAATGTAATGTAATCTAATCTAACATTTAAAAATGGCGTATCAATAGTCAAACTTTTCTCGGACGTACCATGTATATACGTTGCAAATTACAACTATATAACCGTTTTAAGGCTTTCTATATATGGTTACTTTCCCCATTTAATAGGATATTATTTTCTGAAGTTCTCAGTATATATTATGTCTTAATTTTGTTTTGATTTGTTTTTCTCCAAAAAAAAATTATGTCTTAATTAGTGTTCTTAAACAAAAAAAGTATCATTTCACAAAAAAAAAAAAAAAAAAAAAAAAAAAAAAAAAAAATAAAAAAATAATTCAAAAAAAAAAAAAAAAAAAAAAAAAAAACAAGTACATGAAATCTAACAGTTAAATTGTTAGGGTTATTCCTACTATATATATCAATCTTTTAACTTTAGGGATAGTGACAGTCTAATCTTGTTCTTTTAATTTTTAGCGTATTAATCCTTTGAACTTTCAATTTTTGATAGTTTTGGTCCCTCACACTAAAAGTAAAAACAATTTATAAAATTTAACAAAGATAATCATATGTTCATTGTGTGATAACTTTAAATTTTACAAAAATAATTAAGTTATATGTAAACTTTTCTCTTTATTAATATTTTGCACTTCCTATAATTATTTGTATAAAAGTTTCAGTTATTATGCAATAAGAATGTGACTATCTACGTTAAATTTTAAAAACTGTTCGTCATTATTATTGTCAGGGATTAAAACTGTAAAAAAAAAATGAAAGTTCAGATACTAATATATCAAAATTAAAAGTTGATCAGGGACAAAAATGTCAATATACCTAAAGTTTGCAGACTAAACATACCACTTACTTAAACTATTAATAGTGAATGATTTATACAAATAAAATTGTTTTAAAATTTCTTTTTCTATGGAATAACATGTTTTAAATATTTTAGGGCTTACTATGCTGTTGAAAATTTTTATTGGTGTTATGTTGTTAGCAATAAGTTGTGTCACCATAAGCATACATGTGTTTGGTAAATATATAAGTTTACAAAACTGATGTGAATATAAGAAGCAGGAATTTAAGTATTTGGCAAACTGTGTATAAAATTACTATGAAGATGTATAATGATGAAAATAGACGTATACTTTAGCACATATTTATAGTTAGTTTTATTTTCTTTTTTCATTTTTTAAGGTCATTTTTTGGAGGCATGCTCAAAAAAATGTAAAGATCGTGTCTGCAAAATTTCAGAAGTTTTTAACGTCGTTTTTATTTTATTTTATATTTCAAAGACAAAAAATAGAAAAAACCATAAAAATAGAATATTCATCAAAAAATAGTGCCGCTTGTTACATTAATTCTTAAAAATCGTGTATTAATTTTAGAATACAAAAGATAAATAAAAATGTGAATTTTAGACCTATCCTAGCCCATGGACGCCCCACTGCGCGCGCTTGTGGCATTTGGACATTGTTTTTTTTTTTTTTTCATTTTTGAGGCCATTTTTTGCAGGCATGCTCAAAAAAATGTAAGGATCTTGTCTATAAAATTTTAGAATTTTTTGACGTCGTTTTTATTTTATTTTATTTTTTAAAGATGAAAAATAGAGAAGATCATAAAAAATATAATATTCATCAAAAAATGGTGCCGCTTATTGCATTAATTCCTAAAAATTATGTATTAATTTTAGAACGCAAAACCTAAATAAAAGTGTGAATTTTTTTCCCATCACGACCCCTGACTGCCCCACTGTGCGCGCCGGAGTTTTTGACATCGTTTTTCATTTTTCATTTTTTGAGGCCATTTTTTTCACGCATGCTCAAAAAATATAAGGATCGTGTCTGCAGAATTTCATAATTTTTTGATGTCGTTTTTATTTTATTTTATTTTTTAAAGATGAAAAATAGAGAAAATCATAAAAAAAATAGAATATTCATAAAAAATGGTGTCCTTTGTTGCATTAACTCCTAAAAATTGTGTATTAATTTTAGAATGCAAAACATAAATAAAAATATGAATTTTTGGCCCATCCTGGCCCTTGGACACCCCACTACGTGCGCCGGGGGCTTTTTGACATCATTTTTTTTGTTCATATTTTGAGGCCGTTGTTTGCAGGCATGCTCAGAAAACTGTAAGGATCGTGTCTGTAAAAGTTCATAATTCTATTAATGCACTCTATGGTGGCCATCATGTGTCAAACCATGTCCGTCAAGGCATTCAGGTGTGCTTACATCTGCATCGGGTCACGCTGAGGCGGGCTTGGGGCTGGAACTTCTTTAATCCTAGCTACGGTTGGGTTTTCACCCCTTCCTCCATTAGCTTGATTGGCCTGGTGCACTGTGTTTTCTTCGATTTGGCTGCCTTGGTTCATAGCGCTACTCCTCGTTCTTCTTGGCGGCATGGTTTCTCATTAGGTCTTTGTAACAAGAATTCTTCACATTAACCAAAGATTCTGTATTCGGTCCGCATCAGAGTCACCAATTGTTGACGGTAGAAATTCGTCAACAGATATAATTCAAATTTTAAAGACGGGTACCGTGATTTTGGTGATCTAGAATGCGATTAAGGAAGATTAAGAGAGATCAGAAAATAAGAACACAGATTTATAGTGGTTCAGCCTTTTGTTCAAGAGCTACATCCATTGTGAGGAGGAGAAAAATTCACTATGTTTTTTAGAATAAGATTATAGAATGTTGTTTTAGGCCTTGTCCTTTGCACATATATCTGCTTTACTTGCGTTCTACTCCTGAAAGAACCCTCGTCTGGTCTCGCAATTAAGGCAACCTTCGTCTGATCATTAAATGTCCTCATTTATGACACGTGGGTCCCATTTAATATCCAGATTAGGGTATGAGATTTTTACCCTACAACAATATTCATAAAATATTCAATAATATATGTACATAAAATAATGAATAAACTCTTATTAAATAAATAATAAATATCTTATTACATCTCATGCTTTTAGGACACTATTCCTAATAGTAAGTGCGTTGTAGGTAGCATCGGATGTAAGTGCTTCTAGGTCAATGTCACTTTGGTCCAAGAGGGACGACGAGTTAGACTCGGGGAGTCAAGAAGGTGCATAGGCACGAAACTTCCACAGTTGAAGATTGAGTAGTCAGCATGAGAAGAAGTCTTAGGCCAAGTCTGATGGGGCGTTGGAAGGTCAACACCAAGAGTGACACACGAGGAGCCCAAAGTGAGTTGGCTCAAGGGTCGGCCAAACTCACAAGACTCGATAGACAGCGAGACACAAGAGAATGTCAGATACATGACCCGGGCGGCCTAGTGTGGGGCTGCAGAGTCAGAGATAAGTTGCTTGGGCAACATGCTTGCGCGGTTGGAGCTTGTTGGGGAACCCTTAGAGCCGTGGTGCACAAGAGATGCGCTAAGGATCGAGACAGATCAGCTAGAAGACACGTCAGTTGGCCTTGGACCAAGATGTCATAAGTTGGTTAGTTTTGGAGGTGTTGGGCCCCAGCTCATGGATGCAGCCATGCTGCTCGTATGCGATAGTTGGTTGTGAGCGATGTTTAGAAGAGTGAATCGGGATGCATGCGCACAATAACGCTTAAGCCTGGAAGTTGGCTTGTTTGTGAGGAAGGTTGGCCTTGACTTGAGGAGTCTTGGCGCCGCACGGCCGTATTCCGCAACTTAAAAATGCCAGACCGTGACACTACGCCTCGATGTCCAAGTTCTAACCAACAATGCAAGTGCATATAAGGCAGTGGGAAGTAAATTAATGGCGCAGAGAAAGCATCTTTATTAGACTACATGAGCTGCACATTGTATTGTTTTGATACTTAAAGAGACTTGGGGACTTGCCACAACATAAGACTGCTTTGACTAAAGAAAAGAAAGTGAGCAGGTTCATTTACAATCATAGTTGGGTTTTTGGCTTTGATGAGAAAATTTATTAAAAAGGAACTTATAAGACCAGCCGCAGCTAGATTTGCCACTACATACTTAACTATGCAAAGTCTCCAAGAAGCAAGGCAACCGTTGGAGGCTATGTTCACTTCTACACGGTGGTCAACTTGTACATTTGCAAAGAAATCTAAGGAGAAAGCTTGTACATTTGCAAAGAAATCTAAGGAGAAAGAAGTGAGGAAGATTGTTTTGAATGAGAATTTTTGGCAAAGTGTGAATTATGCCATCACAACTACAAAACCCTTAGTTTAGGTTTCGAGAATGGTTGATTCAGAGAAAAAGCCAGCTATGGGTTTCATTTATAATGCTCTGCATGAGGCGAAAAAGTTGATAGCAAAAAACCTGGGAGGAGATGAAGGAAGCTACAAGGAAATTTGGGAGATTATAGGTGAGAAAAGGGAGCTTCAATTGCATCGACATTTGAACGCAGCGGGCTATTTCTAAATCCTCAATATCAATATGATGAGAACAAGTCCACTGATCCAGAGATTAAATTGGGCTCATACCATTGCATCAATAGAATCATAGTTGATTCAACTGAGAGAGCCAAGGCTGGTCTCCAATTTATAGCTTTTCGTAACAAGGAAGGATTCTTTGGACTACGACAAGCTAAAGACACTATAACCAAACGTTCCCCTAGTAAGTAAATCCTAATTTCCATAGTTACTACTTACTATTGTCTTTAATCTTTATTGCTTAACGAGTTTTATTATATTTCTATGTAATCCATTCCTCTTAATATTTTGTTTTAAAATCAGTTGAGTGGTGGATTTAATTTGGTGATGCTAATCCTGAATTGCAAAGATCCGCAATCAAAGTTTTCAGTCTTACTTGTTCAACATCGGGATGTGAACGATATTGGAGTACTTATAGCAAAGTTCAAACCAAGAGAAGAAACTGCTTGGCTACCTCAAGGATGAACACATTGGTTTACATAATGTTCAACAAGAGGTTGAAGGATAGAAATTTGAAGAAAAAATCATTGGACGATGGTGAAGATCCCTTGGTTATAGATGATGTTCCTTCGGATGATGAATGGTTTTTGGATGATGAAGATGAAGTACCACTATCCCAATTAAATTAGGATGATCTCAATGTTGATTTTTTAAAGGAGTAAGAAATAAAAGAGACGAAAGTCAACAAGCAAGCACCTCAAAAGGTTAGTATCAAACTTTATGACATTTAAATTATAACAGACCAATAACCATATTAATTGTTGTAAATAATTATAATAGTAATATCCTTATTGGACATTATTGATTGGGGAGAGGAAAGTGATTGAGATTAAGAATAAGAGTGGGAAGATGTTGTAAGTGACAATTAAGAAGACGAGGGAGCCATCAACTACCATGATGATTCTGATGAAGACCCTCTAAGTGATGGGAGTATGAGTGACCTGTTTGAATTAGGATTAGGAGTTATAACTAGTTTCTTTTGGACTTCTACTTTCTATTTAGTATTAACATGACTTCCTAGGATGCTTAGTTATGTTTTATAACTACTATGCTTGATTTTTCATATTTATTTGAATTATTTTCTAATTTTATTTTGATGCTTACGCCTCAAAAAAGCCTAGAGGCATATGCCTCGCCTCACAAAAGAAAAACGCTTCAATACCAGATTGTGTAATTTTAAACCTTGCTGTTAATATTTGAATAAAAAACAGAATATACATCAATGTTTTACACTTATATTCAGGACATATAAATTGACATAACCAAGTTAAAAGATAATCAATCTTTGTTCATGGAATGTAGAAAGTACTCATTCAATTTATGCAACGATATCAAATAACGTATGACTTGAATATATTATATATAACTATTAACAACAAGAATTGATAATTAAGAAAAGGCCATACTTCAGCAGCAGCAACAACAACAACAAGCCTTAATCCTAACTAATTGGGGTCGGCTATATGGATTTTACTTTTTCACACAACTCTGTTTGAAATTAAACTTTTCTGAAGGCCTAGATCTAGAATGTCTTTCCTAATGACTTCGATCCACGTAATTCTTGGTCTACCCCTCCCTCTCCTAGTATTAGGTATAAGAATGTCCTCCCAAGCACGAACTGGTGCTTCTAGCGGTCTACATTAGACATGTCCGTACCACCTTAAGCGGCCTTCGCGCACCTTATCTTCTATTGATGCTACACCTACTTTACTACGAATAACTTCATTCCTTATGGGATCCATTCTCGTATAACCACTCATCTATCTTAACATATGCATTTCTGTCACTCATCTTCGATATATGTTGTCTTTTAATGGTCCAACATTCACGACCATATAACATAGCTGGGCAATTGTACAGGTAATAACAAAGAAAGAGAACGTATATCCTCGCAAAGCAATAGTTTTCATAACAAACAAAAATTAGGGCTTATAAAGAGATTAAAAAAACCTACCACTGAAGGGGGATAAACATCAATAATAAGAGTAAAAGCAAACACAAATCCAATCCAAAATGAATTGCTGGGAGTTATCCATAACCCTCTTCATCCCCAACCCCACCAAAAAAAAATAGAGAGAGAAAAGAAAGAACAGAAAGAAGAGAAAAAATAACCACCCATTGAAGGAGAAACAAAAGTTCGACCAAAAAACGAGAAACAGAGGATCTGTTTGTTTAGCACAACCAAAGGTCCTTTGACCCAGACAACAATGAAGTCATTACAAAAATTTATTAAGTTTTATTTTCATTAATATTACGATGTGTTTTCATTCCTCATTACGGAAGCTAAACTAGTAACTGTAAACACAAATATAAAGAAAAATTGTGTAAATTTATCATACCTGAGCAAGACAACAAGGAAAAAGGTCTCAATCAATAAATTGGAGAAGAACAATTACTTAGAGATACCTTGAAGAAACTCCATGCCCTAAAAACTAAAATCTTGAAATTCAAGTAAAGCCCAGAAGAATAATAAAGCAAAGATATACAAAACCATAAAAATTCAAGTAGTCTTTTCCAATTTTCTTTAGGTATTACCTATATTCTACAACTAAACAAAAGTTCAGAAGAGAACTTCAGGTACCTAAACCCAGAACAAACTTCAAAGAAAAATTTAAAGAAACCACATAAATTAATACATAAAGAATTAGGGAAAAAGGCAATTCATGAAAAAAAAACTCATAAATCAGAGAAGATAGAAAATGAGGGTACCTGCTGCTTGGATTGGATCGTGCCCCGGATATTTTTTTTTCTCCCTCTTTTTCTCTTATTCCTGGTGTTGGGTGGTGGGGTATTGTGTCTCTTCAAAGCTCACCAGAAATGGAAAGAGAGAAATATTCAGATCAATGAGAGTTGCATAGAGAGAGAAAAGCAAAAGGCATGAGAGAAACAAGTGAAAAGAAAGAGGAGAAAGAAGTGAGCTTGACGAGAGAGAGTGAGGGGTGCGAACAGACTTCAGAGGGAAAAAAAAAACAAAACAAAACAGGAAAAGATGAAAATTTTGAACAGTATAAATGTGAGGGGAGATACAGTAAATCAACGTGATTTCTAAAGCCTCGTTAATTTTACCGATTCGAATTTTCATTTTTAAGTTTCTATAGTTAAAAGCTCTAAAAAATACCATATCTAATTTTTCTGTTACAGTTAAAAGCTTTCAGAAAATGTCACATCTCAGCTTGAATTGAAAACTCGAATCCACGAAACGAATGAGGCCTAATATAATTATAGCTTAGTTGCAGCTACGTGCTTTGCATGTGTCGGGCATGTTGTGAGAGTTAAATGTGGTGTATTAGGATTTTAGATTATCGAATAGTGTTTGTTTATAGAATATTTGAGTTTTTATTTTCATTGACAACAAATCATAAGAAAAATAAAAACATTAATTTGTTTCCTAAACATGATATGGCTAGGATGTTGGAAATAAATAAATATAATTAGTAGAATTTTGATATTAAAAAAAAAAGCACCATAAGCTACCGTTATGCTAACAAAGAAATGCGAAAAAGAGAACCAATTCCTAGTCAAGTTACGAGAAAATTCAACAAAAAGTTTTTATTTACATAGAGAAGGTGTGCCAATAAGCAAAAATAGGGGAGCGCAGTCAACCTTATATCTCAAAAAAAGAAACACATGATTCCTTTCAAGATATTATTACGAGATTGGCTAAATAGCAATTACAAAAAAGAAACTACCCTTGTAGACAAAAACTTTGAAAAATATTGCAGAAGAATGTTTGCAAAACATAAAAGATCTACACAACCAAGACAACAACCTAACCAAATAGGAGAATTGAAAAAGACCATTCCAGTTAATGATAATTTCTCTCAATAATCAATTACTATAATACATAAAGCCAATGTCTATTAGCTCTAATAAAGCACTAAATGCAAGTCAGTAAGATATTTCCACTACCAAGATCCCGAAATAGTTCTTCTATAAATTTTCTTTGGCAATCTTTCTAATTCTAGAAAGACCTCAAATTCTTCTTCAGAGTCAAATTGCTAATCACTTTATCTGTTAGAAAGTACAGGTTTCCTAAAAGGAGTTTCTTTTAAAATGTAGCACAATCCTAATTGACATCTATGCACCTTACCCTACAAAGTTCTTCTACCTCATGTTAAGTCTTGTAAAATTGCATGTCTTATATAATTGGAAACAAATGAAAGTTTAGATAGCATTACTCATTCCCTCCTCACCCTCATAAAAAAGAACCTTCAACTCATATTCAAATTAGAATTGTCTTTCATTCCAGGATGAAAAAATTCATAAAGGCAAACCTTGCTTTCAAAGGCTATGGCCTCGTTCAGTTCTCCGATTCGAGTTTTCAATTCGAGCTGATATGCGACTTTTTATGAGAATTTTTTACTATAGCAGAAAAAGTTAGATGCGACTTTTTGTGAAAGCTTTATATTGTAGCAAACTGGAATTGAAAACTCGAATCGGAAAACTGAACGTGACCTAAATATACCTATTTTTTTCTAAGCAAAGAAGGTGACATATCACTCACATATAGTAAACAACTACACGACATGAATATAAAAGGAAAAAAATGCAAAAGAAATTATAAAACTAATGTGCAGTACCTAAGAGTTATAGAATAGTAACTAAAGGGAACTCAAATCTATATGAGTAATAGAAAATAGAATATGGATAATTGATTTTAATGAGATAAGGCACAATATTACCAAGGAACTAATAGGAAAACATCTATTTTAAAACAATAACAACTGTTGAGATATAATGTTCATAACAAGCAAGTAGCTATTCGAAGATTATATACCTTTAAAAAACCATCAAATGATCTGTGCAAAAGGCTCAAAAGTTATGATTTTACAAAATATTGCAGTAGTAATCAATTTTTTTTTTTTATAAAAACAATAGTAAATCAATTATTGTCCTAACCTCTTCAAAAATTGCTCAGGTTCTCCTCAAACAGAAAACTAATGCCATTCCAAAAAGTTTTATCAATGCACTTTTCTCACGAAAGTTAAAACTATTTCTTGTATTCTTACAAGTTACAACACTAATCATGTGCAACCCCACTAGAAGCACACATGGTATACATTGGATCAAAAAAGAATACTACAAACGAATGAAATTTCACGTCAAGAACATGGTCATACTTTTTTAATTAAAATACGATGAGCAATAAATTATCAACTCTCTCTTGAAAAAACCAATGAGATAAGCTTAATAAGGTACGACCCAGTCTAACACATAAAATCAACAAATCACCTAATTAGCATCTCATAAGTTCAGACTATATTAAAAATGGCAGTTGGAGAAAAAGGGAGAGATAAACCAAACAAATAAAAATAATCAACAAAGATACTTGAGAATAACAAGAAATAGGAGAAAACACTTATTGAAAAATTTTTCAATTGTTGAATCCACCACATCACTAACCAAAAGAGGAGAAATATGAAACTCTTCAAGCTAATGAATTCTTAAAACTGTGTCTCTAATAGAATCTAATGTTTTTATTTTTCACCTAAACATATTTTACTGTCTTTGTTCTGTTCAGGAAAATTTTTGTGTTACTATAAGCTCAGACGAATGCTAAGAAACATTTAAAATGCATGAGAAGACAAGATTTGACTTCCTTTTGAGACTTTCACTAAGACTAAAAAAAACCCTTATTCTAGGACAAAAATGGAGTAGACTTCATATGGTCAAGTTTGTAAACACCCATTCAAACTAAAACTCGTGTAAAGAAATTCATGGTCAGGTTTTGTTACATCCGCTGACGTGGAATCAAGAATTTTAGTAAAGAATTTGTGCCTACAAAAAACAATCGGAGACCAACTCATCAATAACGTTTCAGCAATTCAAAAAAAAAAAAAAAAAAAAAAAAAAAGAAAAAAGAAAAGGAGGCTTACCCAATTGGACAAGGAGAAGAAACCTGCATAAAAGAGAAAAATACCACATCTGATCAAAATCCCTAGAAAGAAAGGGGGGGAGAGTTTTTTTATTTTATTTTTTATTTGGGTAAAAATCACACCTTCACGTAATAATTTCTAGACAGCCTCCTCCTAAAAGCCCAGTTAACAGGTTCCTTTTCTATCGATATATATAGAGAGGTGGAAGATGAAGAAGCAGCTAGAGAAGAAGAAAGAAAAGGCAAGAGAGAGAATAACACAAAAGAAGGGAGAAAAGAACAAAATTGAAACAAATGAAAAGAAACAGGAGCAAGGAGCGAGCTTGAAGAGAGAGAGAGGGTGCAAAAAGACTCGAGGGGAAAAAAACAACAGAAAAACAAAAATAAAACACAACACAAAACAAAACAGTAAACGACAAATTAGAAAGCCAAAAACTTTGAACAGTACAAATGTGAGAGGAGCTACAGTAGACGCATTTAGATTTCCATATAGAAGCAATGTGCTTCCCACACTTGAGACTCCACTTGGGCGACAATTGCAAGTGTATGTACAAAGAAAGAAGTTTACTTCTTAATAATAACAGTACGCATCAAAGCATAAATTTCTTCCTCGCTTCTGGAATACCAAAAATAGTGATATTTCATTTGAATGGTTATATACTCATGCAAGGAGGACACAGGAAAGAAGAGAGAATATATTAGAAAAACGAACAAATTTATTATAAAAGAAAATGCAATATTAAAGAGATTGTGTTGTAGTACAAACGTGGAACATATTTAGAAACAAAGAAACTAAAAACTAAAAGAGCTACTTGCTCTATAAAGAAACAAGGAAAATTAAGCAGTTCATAGAGGTCCAAAAGCATAGAAGAAGGAGAACGACTATTTAGCTTGCCTTGGATCTGACAAATGAAGAACAATACCAGATAACAAACTTTTAAGGCACAAACACAAAACATTTTGACAAACATATAAAAGGTGAAAATTTTGGGGACAGAACAGAATACCACAAATCCCCCAAGGCCCAAAATTTGCACAAATGAAGCATGGAATGAATATCATCAAACACACAAGTATAACGTATTTTTGTTTTCTTTCCTCATTAGCTCCTTCAATAATGACAATGATAGGACCAAGCCCTTGATCAGACAGGTGTTCATTAGGAGAGGGAATCGGGTGTGTGTAAGTGTAAGGGGGTTAGTTAGGTAGTTACAAGAGAATAAGGGGGGAGCTGAGGGGAATAAATAGAGGGGGAAGGGATACGAGAGAGGGATCAAACAAGTGAGGTAGAGAGTAGCTTGGCCAATTAGCCAACTGGGTGGAGATTAGCAATCCCTCGAAGTACTGCTGTTGTACATTGTCCTACAATTTTAATAAGAATTCTTGATTCTTGATTCAATTCCGTTTCTTTTCTCTTTTGTTTGTGAAAGAAACCCTAGAACCTATCATTTTGGTATCAGAGCACGATTTTGGGAGGAAATGGTGGCTAGGAAGACGGAAGAGAGATTCGAGACCGTTGAGAAGGAGATGAAAGAGATGAGAGAAGTGATGAAGAAAGATGTGAGCGAGGTCAAGGCGGAGTTGTTACAGAGCCTGACCGATCTGCGTCGAGTATGGGAGGAAAACTTGAAAAACTCTTCATCAGCGGCTCCGGCGCCGGAGAAGTCGAAGGCAGTCACTGCGGCGATAGACGGCAGAGCGGGGCCGAATGATTCCGGTGGAAAAGAAGGACCTCGAGTGGAAGTCGTTCTGGGTTCGTAGGGAGAGATTCGCGCGGAGGAGAACCGCTCGATAGACTGCAGAGCTCTTCAGGATTTTGGGCGAGAGTTCGCGGGGGAAGAGAATCTTAGGGGAGATGGAGGACGAGAAGCGCCGGTGAGGAACCAGAGAGGGGAACCCTCTGGGCATCGGGCCGAATGGTGGAATGCGACGGGTGAGGAGGGATTCCGAAGGAACGGGAGCGGAACGGGCAACGGTGTGGGCACTCGCGGGTACGGCGGCGGAGAAGCGTGGCGAGGTGGAATGAGAGAGGAAGGTCGGCGGGAATGTGCTAGGACAGTCTTTCCGCACGGGGAAGAGGGAAACAGGGACTTCAGGAGATACATGGGAGGTCGGGAAGAATCTCTTGTGGACGATGACTGGGTGGCTAGTCACCGGCGGCACATTGAATGCCCTGTCTTCAGCGGGGATGACCCAGACGGGTGGGTGTTCAGGATGGAGCAGTTCTTTGGCATCCAACGTTGTACTGAAAGAGAGAAGTTGATCACGGCAGGAATTGCTTTGGACAATGAAGCTTTGTCCTGGTTTCAATGGCAGAACGAGAGAAGGCCTTTCATCAATTGGTTGGAGTTTAAGATGGCCCTCTTGCAGCATTTCCGTTCGTCCCAGGAGGGGAGTCTATGTGAAAAGTTTTTGGCGATTAGGCAAGATGGGACAGTGGCCGACTATCGACGGAGGTTTGAGATCACGGCTGCCCCGCTCCGGGATGTTCCAGAGGAGATTTTGGAAGGAATATTCATCAATGGACTCAGAGCGGAAGTTCGGGCTGAACTAAGATTGTTGAAACCTACGGGGTTAGGGGAAATTATGGAAACTGTGCAACGAATAGAGGAGAAGAATGAATTGCTACGGAAGGAGGTGACTGGGATGAAATGGTCACGGGGACCACAGCCAGGTGGGGGTCGAGGAAAGTTTTCCTCTCTGCCCTCAAAAGCCAATGGTGTGGTTCGTTTTCCCTTGGTGACAGAGAAGACCGTGTCTCAAAAGAAGGATTTTCCCTTCCGGAAACTGTCTGATTCTGAATAGCAAGAGAAAAGAGAGAAAGGCTTGTGTTTTCGCTGTGATGAGAAGTTTACCATGGGACATTGATGCAAGAAGAAAGAATTACGGGTTATGTTGGTTAGTGATGAGGAAGAAACTGATTGGGAAGAGATAGATCAAGAACAACCGAGGAAGGGCCTGGAGGACGTACAACAGGAAGTCATTGAACTTTCCTTGAATTCGGTAGTGGGATTGTCTACTCCAAAAACCATGAAGCTGCGTGGTACCATTGCTCAATGTGAGGTAATAGTTTTGATTGATTCCGGCGCGTCACATAATTTCATTTCATTAGATACGGTGAAAAGGTTAGCTATTCCTGTTGTTCCAACTACCGGATTTGGTGTACAAGTGGGAACGGGGGAATCGGTTCGGGGGAAGGGGCTTTGTAGGGAAGTAGTTTTGACTTTACCAAGTTTGACTATTGTGGAAAATTTTCTGCTCCTGGAACTAGGGGGAGTGGATGTGATTTTAGGCATGCAATGGCTGGAAACTTTGGGAGGAATGCATGTTAATTGGAAATCCCAAGTTATGAAATTTAAAGTAGGGGAGAGGGCGTGACCTTAAAAGGGGATATGAGCCTTTCTAGAGCCATGGTCTCTCTTAAGGCAATGTTTCGCACTTTGAGACAAGAGGGACAAGGAGTCTACGTGGAGTTAAGCACCCTACGGGTTGATTCCGACACTGAAAAACCACTTCCGGAATCGGTGCAGCACTTGTTACAGCGGCACTCTAAGGTTTTACATATGCCGGTGGGATTACCTCCGCGTCGTTCGCACGACCACCGTATCATACTCCAGGGAGGGGCAGGGCCGATTAGCGTTTGACCGTACAAGTATCCCCATTTCCAAAAAAATGAGATAGAGAAGTTGGTAAAAGAGATGCTCGCAGCCGGAATAGTCCAACCAAGTACAAGCCCTTCCTCTAGTCCCGTGCTCCTAGTAAAAAAGAAAGACGGGAGTTGGCGTTTTTGTATTGATTATCGAGCACTCAACAAAGCTACGGTGCTGGACAAATTTCCCATACCGGTAATTAAGGAGCTTTTAGATGAATTGGGTGGAGCAACTGTTTTTTCGAAGTTGGATTTAAAGGCCGGATATCACCAAATTAGGATGGATGAAGAGGATGTTCCGAAGACGGCATTTCGTACCCATGAGGGCCACTATGAATTCCAAGTGATGATGTTCGGCCTTACCAATGCCCCTGCCACTTTTCAATCGCTGATGAACAAGGTATTAAAACCATTCTTGAGGAAATTTGTATTCGTCTTTTTTGACGACATTTTGATTTATAGCACCACTTTTGAGGAGCATTTGAGACACTTGGATTTGGTGTTGGCTACTTTAGTGGAGCAGCAGCTTTATGTCAACCAAAAGAAGTGTGTGTTTGCTCAAAACTGGTTGGAATATCTTGGTCATATTATTTCAAGCGAGGGGGTGTCGGCAGACCCTACTAAGATTTCGGCGATGTTGGATTGGCCAACTCCTCGTTCTATCAAGGAGTTGCGAGGATTCTTGGGTCTCACAGGGTATTATAGGAGGTTTGTGGCTGGATATGGACATATAGCCTGGCCGTCAACCCAACAACTGAAGAAGGACAATTTCAATTGGAAACCGTTGGCAGAGGAAGCTTTCCAAAGCTTGAAAACATCCATGACAACGATGCCGGTACTAGCTTTGCCAGATTTCTCTCTGCCATTTGTATTGAAATCCGATGCCTCTGGTTTTGGGATTGGAGCGGTCTTAATGGAGCAACAGCGGCCGATTGCCTATTTCAGTCAGGTCTTGTCGGCTAGGGCTCGAGCAAAGTCTGTGTATGAGCGGGAGTTTATGGCAGTAGTTCTCGCTATCCAAAAATGGCGTCACTATCTGCTTGGAAGACACTTTATTGTGCGGATTGACCAAAAAAGTCTAAAGTTTTTACTGGACCAGCGATTAGTAAGTGGGGAGCATCAACATTGGTTGTGCAAGCTATTGGGGTATGATTTTAAAATACAATATAAATCTGGTTTAGAGAACCGGGTGGCTGATGCTCTGTCCCGGAGACCAGCGGATTTAGAACTCATGCGCCTGAGTTCTACAGTAGTTTTTGAATGGGACACAATCCGCTAACAGGTGCTACTGGACCCAAAGTTGACAGAAATCAGGGCTCAGCTAGTGAAGGATCCACAGGCTGTGAAGGGTTATACACTAGTGAATGAGTTGTTGCTCTATAAGAATCGGGTGGTGGTTCCACAAAAATCTTCCATCATTCCGGTATTATTGAAGGAGTTCCACGGCAGTAAGGTGGGAGGCCATTCAGGGGTTTTGAAGACCTACAAACGGCTGGCTTCAGAATTTTTTTGGGTGGGTATGAGGCAGGATGTAATCTCGTTTGTGGTTGCCTGTCTCATCTGTCAGCAACATAAGGCTTCCACTCTCTCTCCAACCGGGTTGCTCTAGCCACTTCCTCTTCCGGCACAGGTTTGGGATGACATTACAATGGACATCGTGGAGGGCTTGCCCAAATCAGGAGGCCGGGACACTATATTGGTGGTGGTGGATCGTTTGAGTAAGTACGCTCACTATCTCGGTTTGCGCCACCCATTTACCGCCAAATCTATTGCTACCTTATTTGTGAAGGAGGTTGTCCGCCTCCATGGTTTTCCTCGCACCATTGTTTCGGACAGGGACAAGATCTTCCTTAGCCACTTTTGGACGGAGCTTTTCAAGTTGTAGGGCACCTCCTTACGCCGAAGTACCACCTATCACCCTCAGACGGACGGCCAGTCCGAGGTGGTGAATCGATGTTTAGAGGCTTACCTTCGTTGTTTTGTGTCGACTCAACCTGCTCAATGGTTTTCCCATATTCCTTGGGCAGAATATTGGTACAATACTAGCTACCATGTCTCGGTAGGAATGACACCTTTCCGAGCCCTTTACGGACGTGACCCTCCTAAGTTGCTTGGGTTTGAAAATGGATCCGCAGCCAATTCCTTGTTGGAGCAGCAGCTTCATTCCCGGGACGCTCTCTTGGATGAACTGAAGATGCATTTGCTCCAGGCTCAGCAGCAGATGAAAGTGAGGGCTAATCTCAAACGGAGGGACGTTAACTTTCGGGTGGGCGACTTGGTCTTTTTGAAATTGCGGCCTTATCGTCATCGTTCGTTGGCCAGGGTTGCCAACGAGAAATTATCTCCGCGGTTTTATGGGCCGTATAAGATCTTGGCTCGCATAGGGCTAGTGGCATATCATTTACAGCTGCCGGATTCGGCCAGGATTCACCCGGTTTTTCATGTGTCACAACTTAAGCAAGCGATTGGAGTGTCCGCTACTTCCCAAGAGCTTCCTTATCTTTTGTCTGAGGATTTCGAGTTACAGGTCGAACCAGCGCACCTTGTGGCTACTCGTTTTTCTTCGTCCACTGGCCAGCTGGAGGTGTTGATCAAGTGGAAGGATCTTCCTGATTTTGAGGCTTCATGGGAGTTGTTTGATGTCATCCAACAACAGTTTCCGGATTTTCACCTTGAGGACAAGGTGACTTTTTTGGGGGGCGGAGTAGTTGATAGGACCAGGCCCTTGGTCAGACAAGTGTTCGTTAGGAGAGGGAATCGGGTGTAAATGTGTAAGTGTAAGGGGGTTAGTTAGTTAGTTACAAGAGAATAAGGGGGGGAGCTGAGGGGAATAAATAGAGGGGGAAGGGATACGAGAGAGGGATCGAACAAGTGAGGTAGAGAGTAGCTTGGCCGATTAGCCAGCTGGGTGGAGGTTAGCAGTCCCTCGAAGTACTGTTGTTGTACATTGTCCTACAGTTTTAATAAGAATTCTTGATTCTTGATTCAATTCCGTTTCTTTTCTCTTTTGTTTGTGAAAGAAACCTTAGAACCTATCAGACAATTGACAAGCCTATAAAGAAGCAATAAACAAGCCAACATCACAAGTAAATGGGCATGAAAGAAAACTACCATGCCATTTTTGTGATATGATATTGTCAAATTGTAATTATATATAGCACTATACTAGATAATCTAAACAAAGAAAAGTTTCAAACGTTTGCACAAATAATTTTTTAACGTTTAACTTTAGCGGGATGGAAGATAATTCGAGCAAATATGGACGAGCAACTTTTCTTTACTGTTAAAAGATTAAATAAATAAAAGGTTTATAACATGATTTTTAACTCAAAAATTTTATTTCAATTTATTGCTTTAAAGAGATTGTTGTTTATTATTGCAATCATCTTAGTTAACCTTATCATATACAAATAACAGACAAATTGAGATCCAAATCCACCATCAAAACTACTAAAGCTTGTTTGCAAAACTAAAAAGCAACATGTTAGGAACCTAATATTTAGAAGTTTTTTTCAATAGTCTTAAGGGGAGTATAAATAGAGGGTTTAGTTGCTAGGGAGAGGGGGATGAGATTTGTAGAGAATTCTGGTGCTTCGGCTGTTAGCTTGGGAGGTTGTGGGGTTACTTGAAAATCCCTCTCTATCTTTATTTTCCTGTATTTTCCATTCTTGCCGATTGTGAGCTTCGTTGAGCTCACTGATGTTAGTAAATTGATTGCAATTCAATAAAGAAACTATTAGTTGGATCCCATTCAAATACTTGCTGGTTTTCCATTTCTTTTGAGCTCAGGATCCTAACACAACAAAACATGCTTTGAACTTTTTTTTTTTTTATAAGAACAGAAACTTAATTTGTAATGAGAAAATGCAAATACAAATGAAGTTCAAGATGGATGAGAGATCCATCTTCATGTGATGCAACAAGAAAGATCAAAAAACAAAGTCCTCTTTGCTGCTTCTGCTGGGCGTTTCTAATAGGGAGGTGTTCAAGATTTCTAGATGCTAAAACTTTGCAGCCCACAATTTAGCTAAATGGGCTTCGTTTTCTTTTTGTTTTGATAACTATGCTATTAGTGATTTTTCCAGCTCTGTGCTGGGTGATCTTATGGAATGGAGATGCTGGTTTAGCTTTCTCCGTGCTTCTTTTTGGTGGCATTCGTTTGTTGTCTTGGTTAATATAAGTCCTTTTTATACACACAATATATATATATATATATTGAAGATTTTAATGAGAATAATACTTTTCTTATTGCTCAAATGAATTACAATCTAGTATTTAACCTAGGGTGGCTGGCATACCAGTCCACAAATCTAGGAAAGGAAAGACAGAAAGTGAATCCCCTAAATTAGGAATTCCACCAAAATAGGAAAGCTGGAAATATGCTGTACCGAAACAAATCAAGAAAAGATACTAAAAATCTATTCTAACCAAATATAGATATTTCCTAACTAATTACATAATTCTACACTCCCCCTCAAGCTAGGTTTGTATATGTTGTACAGACCAAGATTGGAATTTAGTTCATCGAAGCTTTCCTTTGGAAGTGCCTTGGTGAGAATGTCAGCAATTTGAGAGCTTGTTGGAACATATCTTAGTTCCACGATACCATTGTTGACCTTTTCAGAGATAAAAGTGTATCAATTTCAATATGCTTCGTTATGTCACGGTGAATGGGATTCTTGGTAATACTAATGGCTGCTTGGCTATCACTCATCATCTTGATCATGTCTTTGGTCTCAACTTTGAGTTTCCTTAACAACCGCTGAAGCCACATTCCCTCACAAATTCCCAATGTGAGAGCACGATATTCAGATTCTGCACTGCTTCTAGAGACCACGGCTTGCTTCTTACTTCTCCATGTGACGAGATTGCCCCAGACATATGAGCAGTAGCCAGTTGTAGACCTCCTGTTAGTCAATTCTCCTGCCCAACTAGCATCTGTGTAGAGAACTACATCCCGATTTTCAGACTTCTTGAAAAATAAACCATGTCCCAGAGTTGTCTTCAAGTATCTCAGAATTCTATTCACTGCTTCTAAGTGATCCTCACTTGGATTGTTCATGTGCTGGCTCACAATGCCGACAGAATATGCAATGTCTGGTCTTGTGTGTGATAGGTAGATGAGCTTACCTACAAGTCTCTGATATCTTCCTTTGTCAACTGGAACACTTTCCTCAGTTGTATTAAGCTTCTTGTTGGAGTCCATGGGCGTGTTAGCAGGTTTGCACCCAAGCATGCCTGTTTCATTAAGCAAGTCTAGAATGTACTTCCGTTGGGATATGACAATTCCCTCTTTAGACCGAGCTACCTCCTTTCCCAGAAAGTATCTGAGAGTTCCAAGATCCTTGATCTCAAATTCTGTTGAAAGCATCTTTTTGAGTTTTAGAATTTATCTTGCATCATTACCTGTCAAAATGATATCATCTACATATACGATTAGGATAGCAATCAAATTTCCAGGAGAGGACTTTACAAAAAGAGTATGATCTGCTTGACACTAATGGTACCCATTCATTATCACGGTTTTAGCAAATCTGTCAAACCAAGCACGAGGAGATTGCTTTAAACCATATAGAGACTTCTTCAATTTGCAGACCATCTTGCTGTTTGAGTTGTTTTCCAAACCAGGGGGTATTTCCATGTAGACTTCCTCTTCCAGATTTCCATTAAAAAGGCATTCTTAACATCAAGTTGGTGAAGAGGCCAATCTTGATTTACTGCAAGAGAGAGAAGGACCCGCACCGTATTCAACTTGGCAACAGGGGCAAAGGTTTCCTGGTAGTCAATCCCATATGACTGAGTGAAGCCCTTTGCTACAAGTCTAGCTTTGAACCTCTCGATACTTCCATATGCTCGATACTTAACCGTAAATACCCATTTGCAGCCCACAGCCTTTTTTCCGTAAGGTAATTCTGTAAGAATCCATGTATCATTACTTTTCAGGGCCCGAATTTCTTCCTCGACCGCTCGTTTCCATGCTGGATCTTTTAATGCCTCTTGGATAGAGTTAGGAATCTGCACACTATCAAGTTTTGTGATAGAACCCTGTCCGGGCCCCCTTTGAAATTTACCTATGTTAGGAGGGGTAAGAAAGGGAAGAAGGGGAGTGACGTGGACAATCCTTGCACGGATGCTGAGTTGGCAATTCTGTTAGGGGAATTAGTGGGAAAAGGAATATAGGAGAGGGAACATGGGGGGACTGGGCATCGAACCTTGTGATTGCATTGGCTAGCCTAGGGAGGAGGAGAGACCTCGAATTCTCTCGATTTCTATCTTTCTTGTTTTCCTTCTTAATTTCTGTCTAGTTGCCGAAGTTCAACGGCTGTAATTAGAGAATTAAAGAGTTGATCAATAAAAGGTCACTGTACCCAATTTTCTGGGGAATTATCATTCAAATTACTAGCTATTTTTCTTAAAATCTAAACATAACAGGGAAGGTACCTATCAAATTGGTATCAGAGCACCGATACATGGCAAACCGACCAGCTGAGATGCGTCCAGATCGGACGGAAGACGTCGAGCGCCGAATGGGAGAACTCCAGGAGGCTGTGCGACTCCTCAGAGCGATGGTGGATCCAGTTCCAAGGCTGCAAGAAGATATGGCGATTCTGACAGATAGGGTGGAAAGAGTGCAGGACGCGACGGCGCACATGGAAGCTCTCCTAGGACGTCACTTTGGGGGGGAACGAGACCCAGTACCCCGACGAGGAGGACGGGACTGGGAAAGGGAGATGGAGCGCGAAGGCCGACCGGAATTACCGGTACGACGGGGCCGAATCGAACACCGTGGACGGAGGCTCGAGCTGCCAATCTTCTCCGGTGAAGACCCATACGGCTGGCTATTCCGAGCTGAACGATACTTCTCGATAAACGAGGTGGGGGAGAATGAAAGGGTAATGGCGGCGTCGGTGTGTATGGAAGGGCGAGCGCTGGGCTGGTTCCAGTGGGCTGAGGCACAGGAGCCATTCGCGAGCTGGAGGGAGTTTCGAGCAGCCCTGCTATACCGTTTCAGCCGCGCGAGAGAGGGGGATCCAACAGAGAGGTTGATGTCGCTGAAGCAGGACGGGGGAGTAGCAGAATATCGCGACTCTTTTGAGACATTGGCAGCGGCGCTGAGAGGAGTCCCCAAGCCCATCTTCAGAGGGGCGTTCCTGAACGGGTTATGGCAGGACATCCGGGTGGAGGTCAAGCTCCATAGGCCCATCAACCTCCAGGAAACCATGGATTTGGCCCAGCAAGTAGAGGACCGAAACGAGGCACAAGAGAAGTTCAGAAAGTTGCGCATGGGCCGAGTGTGGAGATCAGATGGGCCAGGCCGAGGGGTCCCTAATTCGGACCAGTCTAGGGGGAATTACCCATTCAATCAGAGCTCCCTTCAGTCCAGTGGTTCGAAGGAGACTGGATCCCTCCCACGCGTGAAGTCTGAATCCGCGATTATTCCGGGAGCGGCGGCCAGCCGCGAGCCGGGATTCAAGCGACTCTCTGACGCGGAAATCCAAGCACGACGAGCGAAAGGCCTTTGCTTTTGTTGCGATGAAAAATTTGGGCCAGGCCACAGATGTAAGAACTGCCAGCTACAGGTGTTGTTGGTGGCCGACGAAGAAACTGATTCGGAGGTGGCGAAGGAGGATGAGGTGGAGCCTCCTGCTAGGTTTCCGGACGAGGAGGTAGATTTGTCCCTTAACTCCTTGCTCAGTTTCACTTCATCAAACACGATGAAGGTGATGGGGCGGTTGGGGTCCCGACAAGTGGTGGTCTTGATCGATAGCGGCGCATCGCACAGCTTCTTATCTTCGAAGGTGGTGGAGGAATTGGGAGTGTCTTGTGACCAAACGACCAGCTATGGTGTTCAGGTGGGGAACGGCATGAAATTCTGGCAAAAGGGGTGTGCAAGGGGGTCAAGTTGTGGATTCAAGGTTTCTGCGTGGTGGAAGACTTCTTCCCCTTTGAGTTAGGATGCGCGGACGTTGTGCTAGGAGTGACCTGGCTGAGGACGCTGGGGGAAGTCCGAGCGGATTGGTCTCAATATACGCTGAGGTTTTTTGACGGCTCTCGTTGGGTAGAATGGCAGGGAGATCCGACCTTGAGCTGCTCCCAGGTAAGTTTGCACTCCCTTTCTCGGTGGTTTAAGGCCCCCCAATTAGCTTTTTTAATTGAGCTTTGTGAAACTGAGGTCACGGCTGCAGCCAAGACTACCCCAGTAGCTCCTCTGGCTTTACAGGGGGTGTTGGACAGGTTTGAGGATGTTTTTTTGTCCCCGATGGGGTTGCCTCCGGTTCACGAGGCAGACCATCGAATTGTATTGATGGAAGGGGCCGTGCCGCCATGTATTCGGCCGTATCGGTACCCCTATGTCCAGAAAGGGGAGATTCAGAGGCTAGTAACCGAAATGTTAGCTTCGGGAGTTATTAGGCCAAGTACGAGTCCCTTTGCTAGCCCTGTGATTCTTGTTAAAAAAAAAAATGGCAGTTGGAGGTTTTGCGTAAACTATAGGGCCCTTAATCAAATTACGGTACCCGACAAATTCCCAATTCCAATTATTGATGAATTATTGGACGAATTAAACGGGGCAGTCGTATTTTCTAAGCTAGATTTGAGGGCAGGGTACCATCAAATCAGAATTCGGGAGGGAGACATAGAGAAGACCGCATTTCGTACCCACGAGGGGCACTATGAGTTTCTAGTGATGCCTTCGGCCTGACAAATGCCCCCGCCACATTTCAATCCCTGATGAATGCGGTATTTCGGCCCTATCTGCGCAAGTTCATGTTGGTTTTCTTTGATGACATCCTTGTTTACAGCAGTTCGTGGGAGGAACATAAGGCTCACCTAGCCACCGTTATGGGGATTTTGCGAGCGGAAAAACTGTTCGCAAATAGGAAGAAGTGTGTTTTTGGGCAGCCTCGGCTGGAGTACTTAGGACACATAATTTCCAGCGAAGGGGTCTCGGCTGACCCGGAAAAACTGCAGGCCGTCCGGAACTGGCCGAAGCCCAGAAACGTGCGCGCTGTCCGGGGGTTCCTCAGCCTTACGGGCTACTACCGCCGATTCGTCAAGGGATATGGTGTCCTTGCTCAACCCCTTACGAACCTGCTCAAGAAAGGGGCGTTTTCCTGGTCGGCAGCAGCATCACGTGCCTTCGAGGCTTTAAAACTGGCCATGACCACCCTACCAGTCTTGGCTATGCCAGACTTTTCCAAGTCCTTCGTGGTGCAGACCAATGCCTCAGGAACAGGCCTAGGCGCGGTTTTGTTACAAGAGGGGAGGCCGATAGCATATTTCAGTAAGGCCCATTCACCGAATTCACGGTTGAAGGCGGTGTATGAGCGGGAGTTAATGGCAGTGGTTTTGGCGGTTCAAAAGTGGCGTCACTACCTTCTTGGGAGACATTTTGTAGTCCGCTTAGACCAATAAAGCCTCCGGTTCTTGATGAACCAGCGTCTCCTACCCCCAGAACACCTTCACTGGATTTCCAAATTAATGGGGTATGACTTCGAAGTGCAATACAAACCGGGCACTGCCAATCGCGTCGCGGATGCACTGTCACGACAGGAGGGGACTTGTACCTTTATGGCCCTATCTGTGCCTCAATTGTTGGACATTGAGGCCATCAAAAGGGAACAGCGGGCGGATGACAAGTGTGCACAGCTGCTGTCCCAATTGCAGGCAGGACAGGTAAGTACCAAGGGGTATACACTGCGGAATGGCCTCCTATGTTGCCGGGACCGCATTATGCTCCCTCCTAATTCCGGTTGGATCCCACTTTTGCTACATGAGTTCCACGATTCAGCCTTGGGGGGGCATTCCGGGTTCCTCCGCACCTACAAACGACTGTGCTCAAATGTTTGTTGGTCAGGAATGAAGAAGACAATTCGGGACTATGTCGGCCATTGTGCGACATGCCAACGCTCCAAGTATGAGGCCCTTTCACCGGCGGGATTGTTGCAACCACTTCCTATTCCGCAGCAGATTTGGGAAGACGTTTCCATGGACTTCGTCACAGGCCTTCCCTGCGTGAGGAACGTTGATACAATCCTGGTAGTGGTCGATCGGCTGACCAAATACGCTCATTTTTGCCCTATCGCTCACCCTGTTGCAGCCAAGCACGTGGCGGAAGTATTCATCCGTGAGGTTATCCGTATACACGGAATTCCTCGAACGATCGTGAGTGATCGTGATTCCGTCTTTATGAGCTTGTTTTGGCAGGAGCTCTTCAAGCAATATGACAAGAAGTTGCATCACAGTTCCGCATATCACCCGGAGTCGGATGGACAGACTGAGGTCGTCAATCGCTGCCTGGAGACTTATTTGCGTTGCTTTGCCTGTGACAAACCGAAACAGTGGGTTCAGTTTCTGCCTTGGGCAAAGTAT